ATAAGAGACAGATATGTATATATATATATATATATTATAGCTTTATCGCAAGACAGTTTAGAGTTTATCTCTCTCATTATCATGATTTATTTATAAAAAGCATCTCTTTGGAGATCTTGTCTGGGAAATCATTCAAATAGATAATTAATATTAATAATAGTGCTTGAATAGGAACATGATGTTGTAATCATATCAAGCAAAGCTCTTCAACAAAAAGTTTTGTTTACCACAAGGTGGTTTAGAGGTTATCTCTATATTGCATCATGATAATATTACCTGGGGATAGACACATTCTTCAAATGCATCTTCTCATTCACTCCTTTTGCCAAGGTACTATAGTTTTTTTTTCTTAAGCTTTTTTTTCCACAGAGATTTGCGTTCACTTGAAGATTTCACAAACCTCCACACACTGATCTTGGATAACAATGAATTAACATCACATGTTTCATTTCCACACTTACCGAGCATTAGCACACTGTGGCTAAATCGCAATAAGATTTCAAATCTTAGCGTAATTGTTGAGAAGCTCCGCACACGCTTTCCAAAGCTTAAGTATCTCAGCCTGATGAATAACCCAGGAGCACCAAGCTTTTTCAATGGGGGAACCTACCAACAATACATGGATTACAGGTGGGTATATGATAATTATTAAGTTGTTCTCCTAACCTGACCAACAAAAAACATGTTTCCCAAGCCCAGCCAAACAAAATCTATCAATATTATGCTTTGGCAACTCAAAAGCTTTTTGGGGTTTTTTAGCCTAATTATACTTCATTGACTACACTTTGCTATAATTACAGTTCTTTGATGTGCTTATGATAATGTCTCTTGACTACAGATGGATATGATAATTACTGTTCTTTGGGTACAGGTGGATGTGATAATTAGCTGTGCATTGAGTACAGGTTTTGAATATAGAGGTGTATGTGATAATTACTGTTTTTTGACTACAGGTTTTAAATACATTATATAGAGGTAGAGGAGTTAAAGTACAGGTGCATATGATAATAAATGTTCTTTAAGATTTGATGATTGCTTTTATTTCACTACGGCTATGTTCACACACGGCAGCTAACAGTTAGCAGGATATGGATCCTGCTTACCGTTAGTTGCCATACATACAGTCCCTGTCATACAAGACAGTCCCCGATCCAGATACCAAGAAGATGATGATCGAATCACTGGCCAAATAGGAAACTGCAAATTGGTATGCGTATGTGTGATTGGTTGATGATAGAAGCACGCTCTATTTGCAACCGATAGCGCTCGCTAACCGCATCCGGATCCTGGTAACGGTTAGAGCTAACCAATCGGACGTTCACACACGGGTGCTAACGGTTAGCGCTAAGAGTTGGCTCCCGATCCAGATATTAGGGCTCTCAAGTGAACCTGAACTACAGGTGGATATGATAATTACTGCTTTTTAAGCACATGTGTATATGATAATTACACATGTTCATTGACTACAGGTGGATATTATACGCTTTCTTGATTGCAAATAATAATCTCATTTTCAATTCTCTTTTCAATTCTACTTCCAGTCCATGATGTTGCCTAGAAAACTAGGAAGTTTCTGGACATTTTAAGCTGTTGTGAGATGTTTTTACACCAGTATACTACAAATTTATCTTTTTGAAGGATAAAAAAATGTGTTTCCCACTTTCCGGACAATGAGGCATGACACTATTGGCCTTCTGCCTCGCTGCCCAGCTGGCGTTTCCACGTGTAACAGTGTGCATGTTACAGTTTTTCATCATACAATAAGTGTTGAATGTGGTACTTCTATTGTAAACCTAACAATACATTATTTTATGATACATCTAGGCATTATGTCATTAGTCAGTTACCAAGCCTGGAGACACTTGATGACCAGTTCATTAACATGGAGGAACGACTTGAGGCTGTTAGAATTTATAAGCAGATGGTTTCAAAGAAAAAGACAATAAAAACAGCGGTAATGTTTTACTCATTCTTCCTTATATAAATGTGTGATATAATTCAACATTATGGTATAGTTGGTTTTTACATAAAGTTGACAAAATAATGACAAAAATGCACTAAATTTAATAATTATTAAATTAGAGGATATTTTACGTGATCAAAATGGTTAGGGACATACCTCTAAGTCACACCTCTGGTGTGTTTATTTTTCCCTATATTTTACACTGAATCAAAACAATTTTGAAGAAATTTTCAAGGGAAAATCTACAGACAAATCTGGGTAGGGGCCATGCAAAGTGCAAAGCACCAAGTTAGGGTAGGGGAATGCAGTTTTGCAAATTTCTGTTTAGAAATGCTTGACCATAGAAACTAGTACATGGAATTTAAATAGAATTAGCTTGTTTTGAATGCCATGCTCCCCTCTCACTCTCCTTTCGTTTCTCATTTTCGTTTCTTTTTTTCTTTTCTTTTGGGGAGGGGGGTGCTTCTGGATCTACTCCTGATTTGAGGGCACCAAATTGTACATGCATTGATGCTGTTGTGAATCATTTAACTATTTTAATTTGACAGGTATGATTGAAATAGGCCAATCACCACCAACTTTTTACATGTAGTTGCACACACAATGGTGTCAGATTTTTTTTACTCTTTAAGATTTCATAGGTTGTTTTTTAAATATTGATAACATTGGTAATTAAAGTAATGATGTTTTGATTCATATATAGCGCCCTTTAAAGCGGTATTATAAATTTGTTAAATTATTTTATATAATTTTAAGATTCCAGTTTTATTTACTACATATGATTATTAAGTTATTAATACATTCATATTACATTACTACATGCTCATAAATAATAGCTCATTTTTTATTACTATGCAGGTAGTTATCTTTCTAATAGACTGGTCCAGCATTGGCATTTTATTACCGTATATTCTTGCGTATAAGATGATGCTTAAAATAGCAAATTAGGATCGAAAATCAGGGGGAAAAAAACCATGCAAATTTTCTACTGAAGTGGAGCTACTGAAATGAATGGAATTAATGTGAGGAAATAAGATTTTGATGAAAATTTAAAAGCCCAAAGAATGGTATTATTTGGAAGATTGACCCTACATTTGGTTCAGGTTTTAGACAGCTCGATGCAGTATCAAGACCATAAAAAGCAGAAAAATGTAGGAATTTACAGGTCGTCTTATAAGGCTGACATGCAAAATCGTCCAAAAATCTACTAAAACTATGGGGTTGTCTTATACACAAATCACCTTTTACCCAAGTATACGGTATTATACGGCATTTCTTTGTGTGCGTGTGTGTGCGGAACAGACTTGTAAAACTTTGTACACACTGTGGTACTGAATTTATGTCATGGTTATTAATGCTGGCCATGTAGTTGTGCATTAAGTCCTCAAATTTTGTTTTGTGTTATACAAGGAAATTTTGTGCCCAACTATAGTGTCAGGTCAATTAAAGCCAGAACAAAATAATGCACATGAAATCTAAGTGCTGCAGACATATCAATGAAAAAATAATGATATTATTTTGTCGGAAGTGCATAAAATATTTTAGCTTTATGCGCTATATATATACTGCATTAACAAAATTTAATTTTTGATTTATTTTTTGTTTTAGAAAAAGAAGCGTCGAAAGAAATCATCACCAACAGGTGATGAGGAACCAGAGGTGCTTCAAGTTGGGGACACTGTTGACATCGAGTGAAAAACAAAACAAGTCTTTATCATAAAAATACCATACATGTTTATTGCATATTTTCTGAATCCACATGTCAGAGAATGTGGAATAGGATGCTTTGGAACTCCCTTACCTCTTGAGGAATTGGGGTCTGTATTAAAACCGATGACAACTGGATGATTTAATAATCAATTGTCAGCAGCCAGATGTACAGTATATTAGAATATCTTAAAAATAATCTGAATATATAAATAAATATATATATATATTATATATTTATTTCACTTTATTAAAAAAAAAAAAATCAAATTCAAATTCCTCATTTGTAACGGATCATGGCCAGTGGCCAAATTGCAAGTTACAATTACAAGAGGGTGGCAATAAAATATATAAAAAAGTTACATTAAAATGGAAAATAATTATTAATATTATGAAAATTGACATTAACAATGAAATTTAATGATATATGTATAAATTAAATAGATAATACAGTGATCAAATAGAAAGGAACATCTGTCTCTTATACACATCTTTTCTGCCAGGTGTAAATGCAATTAGTGGAACACAAGCTGTGCGGCTCGCTGGATCTCAATAGAGATTCTTTAATAATATAAATTTAAAGAGGCAAATGGGAAAAAAACCCATATATATATATATATTATTAACCACCATTCTCTCATTCACTCTATGGAAAATAACCATTGGGCCTAAATCCGTGGAAGGTATCAAAATATGGAAATAAAGCTCGTGTAAATATATTTCATGTTTCTTCTTAAGAGACCCTTGATTTGAGCTGGGGTAATGTACATTTGAATTGTTTTTGCCTTATCTACAAACATTTTATCATTATATTATCTGTATTCTGTTTATAATACTTTTAAATTTTTCCACCATTACTGTGCTGCTATCTATATACATGTAATAAAAAATAAAACGATCAGTTGTATGATTGGAAAAGTAGAAATTGTTATATTTTGCTTTTATTTCTTTTAATGTAATTTTGTACAAATGGTATCGTAGGTTTGCTGACCTGTTCCTGCATTGGTCAAGCTACTGTTCCTGTTTGTTGACCTGTTCTGCATTGGCCAAACTACTGTTCTTGTTCGTTGACCTGTTCTGCATTGGTCAAAATACTGTTCCTGTTTGTTGACCTGTTGCTACATTGGTCAAACTACTGTTCCTGTTTACACTGTAGCTCTATTAAGCCCAGGCCAGCCCTGTCCAGACTATCAAACTGTTGCATGTCCATATATAGTCATGAGGTGCCTATATATAATATATGATAATGATGTGATGCCATCATGACCATATTTAGGCATGTCACATGTCTTTGGAGAGTTTAAGCTCATTTTAGCTCTCAATTTTAGGTTTAGTATTTTGCTTCATCTGAGACGTCAGTCCTAATTTCATGTGTATCCATCTTAGAAGTTTTATCGCATGACTCTTGTGCATGTGGTCAAACTAATGTTTGGAAGTCCGATTGGTTCACATTAATTCTCACACTGTGGGGAGGCTATGCTTTTACTGCGAAGCATAGAAGGAGCCATTCTAGTTATCTAATGAAAATGTGTTTATTGAAGATAAAGATAGATATTGAAGTATGGTAAAAATGTTCTTACAAGATTACAATCAATGACTACTTAACATTGGGTTTGACAGCGATTTTTGTTTACTAAAATCAACCACAGTAGCAGATCCATAATAGAGGGGTCCATGGAAGGAATTTCAGATAGAGGGACCACCAAACTCAGCCAGCGGGGCGTAACTAAATGAGAATGGGCCCAGGTGCCCTTTGATGTGTGTCAACCGAGGGCTGTGGTTGAGTAATGGGTACTTGGGGGTGGAGGGGCTGGGAGCCGTAAATTTTCAGTGGGTAGGGGAATCCCTGATAGATCCGATGTAAATTTTCAGGAGCCATACTAGAAAATTGTAGGACTACACTGATTCACATTTTCAGAAGATTCATCAAAAATAGTTCTTTATACTCCCTACCCCTAATGTAATAAATATTATGGTAATCGGAACTTTTCTATTTTAAGAGGGGTCTATGCAGTCTCAGCAGGTGTTCTAAGCCCCTGGTAGGCCTATTCAAACTTTTCAAAATGGCAACATTATAATCTGAGCACAGCTAACTTGGCGAACCAACATTCGTTCAACTAGAATTTTTTTCTATGTCAACTGTTTATTTTATATTTCGATTAAAAACACCTAATGGTTAAGGGGTCAGTGACTACCCTCAGACAAAGAAGAATTGGAGGATGTTATCAAAGTATAAATTATATTGTGACCAGTAAGAGAACTGGACTTGTTATACTCAAGAGTCCTTACACATTACTGTTGTAAAAGTTAACGGAAAAAAATATTTTTAAATAAAGGAGCAACGGACAGAGCTGTAAAATCGTAGAAAAAAAGGACACCGTCAGATCAACTTAATTGCAACACATGATATTTTAATCCTGATTACTTGAATTGACACAACAAGCATAGAGTACGAAAATATTTTTTTTTATAATAATGTCCATCGACTTTACAATTTGAATACCAAGGCATTCATGTACTTGATACAATGGCTGGGTAATAATGTGTAGCTATTATTGTACCCACTGGCTTGTGTCGGACACAAAATAAAGATAAATACTGTTATTGTCAGTAAAACTCGCTCATACATGCTTCGAATACCAGCATTCTGAACTAATTTTATGAAATTTAATTGAACTGACCTGAAAATTAAGAAAACACAATAATTAATTATATCTCGGATTCAAAACCGATTAAAGCAACAACTAATTGTTCACACTTCACACTCTTTTACATGCATAGTTTTACAGTACTAGTCCTTGATGCATGGCAAATAACAGGGAAATATATAACTTTTGTTGTTTTAATTACACTTATTTTCATTCATATCTTGATTGAATTGTATTTGCATTTCAAGTCAATGTTACAATTTAGTTTAATCACATTGTAACTCTTATACGTAAATTCCTTTGTGTTTTCAACTGATTATCATCACTGTAAAAATAATTTTAGCTTTTACCAAGCATTAACATCATTAACACTTTTACAGCAGTAGCACACACAAAACATAAAAATGTCATCCGCAATATAACTTCAAAAACATTAAAATACACTTTAAAAAAAATACCAAATCAGAAGGGACATGGTATTATACATACTAAACTATTTATATAAACAAATATATTTTTCACTTTACAACAGATAGAAAATAAGGCAGATAAGATAAAAAGATAAATTATTTGTTACAAAACAGAACATTTTTTCTTGGCAAGACATTAAATAGTAAACATTAAAAAATGAACATTATGAATAACCAATATACTGTACATACAGTACATGTATTTTATGGACAGATAAAGCATTTTATTAACCTTTTCCCGTCTGCCCCATTACCATTGTCTAAAGCTGTACCAAAGCTGAGAAATTACATCATTTTACACTAAATGTTGGGTTTTTACTTGACCAGCCATTTTATTTTGTTTGAATACTGGAGGCCCTTTTCAGAAATACTCCTAAATCACTCTCTAACAATTATATAGAGGCAGCATAGCTATAAAACAAATTATTAGAAACCTATACAGGGCGTACATATGACGCCCCTCGCTATAAACTACGGTCAAAGAGGGCGTTGTTGCGACGCCATACGACTGGAAAGGGTTAATCAGCATCGCTCTGCAACAATTTAAAGTAAGTTCAGATCATGATAATTTAAGTTGTTCATAGGCTTCTTAAATATGTATGAAAAAGTCTTAATTTTCATTATACAAGATACAAATACCTTAATATAAAAGATCTTGAGATAAACATTGGTATGGCGATCCACTAAATTATTATTTTACTTTATTATGAACAAATTTAGTATACAGTATCAGTATTTGGTATAGCTCAACATACACCACATCATTACCAAATTTGGAAGCAAAGGTGCCAATTCTTATTTAACTAACATTAATTTATATTTATTTAAGGATTTCTTAAATATTGACAGTATAAAAACTAATTAAAGTATAAAATATAAAAAAACTTCAGTATAAAAATACAAAAACCTTAAAATCTATGATCCTACTACACTGTGTGTAATTGTTCAGCATCCCTCATCACTACACCTCTTCACTCCACTTTACAAAAGCAAAGGTGTCAATCTTACTTCAATTATAATTAAATTTATACATAAATTTATAAAATATGAAGAATATCCTATAATTACATTATACAATATAATAAATATACAATACAAAGTAACAAATAAAAAAAAAAGCATTAAAATCCAAGAACAGAAAAATTACAGTACAACAAGTATGGTTTGTTGAACGTAGCCAGATAGTTCATGAATGCCACTTAAAGTACTTTCAATAAGTTTGAAAAAAGCAATCCTAATATTATTACCTTTATTTCAGGGTATGACAGTGCACAAATTGTATTATGATAAATTTTGACTCAAACAAAAACAGCCTCAAGAAATATAAACTTAACATGAAAATTAAGAATGATGTTGGATCCAGAGTGTTTTTTAATAGTCTATTAATTGAAAGTTATGTTTTCTTTTTTTAAATGTGCAGCTTATTGAAACTGTTTTCCTTTTCTTCTTGCATCACTAGTCAGAAATATATTAATATATTTTTAGAAGACAATTAATTAAAAATAATTATTCACAGAATGTGTCGCTCACAAGTTGAATACAAAGCTACACATTATCCCACATTATAGGGTATTGCCTGGTAAAATGTTATGGTTTAAACGGTTGCACTTTTCCATTTGCATTTTATATTGTATTACATTTTTGTATTCTGACCAGCAAAAATTGGGTTGGGATTTGCCATTGCCTTACTTTAGACACTGTTTGTCATTTCTACTATTGTACATTTGCTTTATTCTTATATCACATTTATATCTAATAAATATATATATATACAAAAATTTGCTAGCCTCAACGTTAATTTATTCTGAATACTGAATAAATTGCCAAAGAATCAATGCTTGTTGTAGCTTGGTTACGTCTGGTTTTTTTTTTATTGAATATTTGGGTTTGTGCTGCAAGGAATATACTTATGTGCAACATCAATAGTAAGTAACTAAACCATTATCACAACATAAGCATCACCTTTGTACACAATACTGTTGTTTGAGATATGCATTTTGAATTTTAGGCTATTATTACTTGCATTAATTATTTGAATTTTATTTAGTGAAGCATAATTATTCAATATTTCGACATTAATTATGTCATCATCATTCCTGATGATGACATAATTAATGTCGAAATATTGAATCCCAACACGATGGCGTGTATTTCAATACTTGGAGTATGTATTATACTTTCTTATCTGAGATTAATCAGTGGACCTTTCGGTTTCAAGCATAATTATATTATAGATCATTTTCTAAAGCACTTTTTAAAATTTGACTACTTCACCATTTTGGTGTGGACATTACCTTTTTTTTTTTTATTTCACACTGGCAATACAGATATATCAAAATAAATAAAAGACAAGCAATTGAAAACCAGCATCTATCTCATTAAGCTTGGCTGGATTCTAGTGCTACAAAAGCCTATAATTTTTAAGGGTGGGAAGGAAGATAAAGGGACAGTGTTTTAATCAATTTTAGTGAGGAAATAAGCATGGTACTTCACTTTGGTTCCACAACTGCCACTGATCACCTTGTTGGCTTTTAACTTGGAGTATGTATAGGGTATGCTTTGTGAATCACTAGAGATTTTATAAGTAAAGAACAATTTAAAGATAAAGATGTTCAGATGATTAACAGATTTTCTATGCTTGCAAGTATACAAGCTAGGTGTCTAAGAGCATTAAAAATGAAAAAATAGCACTTCAGTAGATAGTCACCATAATTTTTTTTAAAGCATTATTACCTCTTCTTGTCTCATTTCCAAGCATTCTCACCCTAATACATTGAGCCAAATGCCCATTGTGCAAAACTCTGAAATAACATCAACGGCAAGCTTTTTTCCTCCTCTACTTTTCTCACCCACGGTGTATCAACAACAGGCGCCTCAGATGTCCTACTGATATTCCATGGTGGGTAGTGGAATGTGATATTATACAAATGTGCCCAACGACTGAACACTGCCTTTTCTGTAAGGAAGCGATGACCTCCAATCAAGGAGGCGTTTTCATGACTACGGTAATAGTCACACTCATCTGGTTTATCCCAAGACTGAAAGTAATGGTATTTAGTTTTCTTGTGGGGATGTTTTCTGAAAAAAACAATGATTATCCAAATTATATGTTGTAGGGTAATGCTATTTTAAGGTTAATTGAATTTTTAGCCATTGTTTTAAAATTTTATGAAATACAATATGACATCAAAGTACAATACACGACAAAAGGGACACTGAGTGAAGAGATTAAACCAGGAAAAAAAAATCAAGTGCAAAAGATTTAGATTTTTAAGTTTACTGTCCTTGGTAAACACTATGAATAGTAATATACCTTATAAATTTTTTGGAGGCTTCAGTGCGGCGCTCATTGGAGAGCTGCGCTTATAATAAAATATTAATGTGGCGCTTTCCATGCTCGTTCCCATGATACGTATGTGTTCCGTATGTGTTTGATCCAATGACCGGGGTAGTAATGTGAAGCGCTTAGCGGCTTTGTGCATGAAGCGCTATATAAGGACATATTATTATTATTATTATTATACCTATCTCACACATTCCCGTAGTTCAGTAGGCCTACTATAGGTCCTACGTAATTGTAAATAAACGTTAATAAAAAATGCTTGTGTCTTCATTGTGTTTATAAATTAATTTTAACACCGTATACTTTGTATTTAAACAATTTATAATACTAATAGCTAAAAAATAACGTTTGGTGCCCAAGCCTAATGGAAAATATTATTTTTGGCTTGTTTTCACAGGCCGCAAAACACACAATCGAGCGCCAGAGATGTCTCACGGGCCACTAGTTGGGAACCCCTGACCTAGGGTGTCTACTGTATCTGTTTCCCAAGCTTTATCCACCTATAGTTACATTAATGCAGGGCACGCGCTGGAATTATGTAAGAACATGTTAATCATCTCTGATCACCCCACACTCATTGGATTGGTGAAAGGGTGTCTGTCCCCTACATCCGTCCCTAACAGGAAATTGGTTATGATCTTTTGTTTCATCAATACTGCTCCACAAGAAAGGATATCACAGATTCTAAAAATTGCATATGTCACTTTTCCCTCAAATATATATAAGATATACACAAAAACCTTAACAAACCCTATGAGACTATGACTACATTCAGATTTGGATATTAGCCAGGCTTGAGTTAAGCCCGCCACAACGTTAACCCCAGCTTAACTTTGCCGGGCATTCAGACTAGCGGGTATAGCCAGGAGGCACAAGCATTTGCATCATAATGAACCGTGACCAGGAAACGTGTTTCAATTACTCGCGAAACGTATGCTCGCTCACAGCGTATGTAATTGAATGCAGATTGGTCATAGTCAATGCAAGACCCCCCCCCCAACAACGATTAAAGCACGGCTTAGAAAAGTTAAACACGGTGGCATGCCAGGCCTAGTTACTATAGGAACACAGCCTGGCTTGAGATAAGCCACCTAGTTCAGACTGGCAGGTGGATAAACTCGGTGAGTTGAGCCGGGTTTATCCACCTAGTCTGAACTAGGCCTAAGAGAAGGTCTTTGACTGTCAGAATTCCAGCAGTTCTCTTCAACCAGAAAATACATCCATCCTATATAAATGTCATCAACACAATATACTATACAACCATGGAACAACAATCATACTGCATAGTAACAAGATCAGTAATTGAAAGAGGAATAAGACAGGGGATACTACCTCACCTAAATTATTCAATGCTACACTGTAAGGGATGATCCGAAATTTAGACTGGAATAGAAAGGTAATCACATCGTTTGTATGGGAATCACATCATCTCCTCTTTGCAACGATAATGTGCTCATAAAAGACAATACCAAAAGATTACAGGAAATGTTAAATTAGCTAAACAAAGAAAGCAATCAATATTTGATTAATAATAAACAGGAAAAAGCCAAAAGTCAAGCACATCAAGCTCAACAATGAGATCATAGATACAACCAACAAATATATTATTTACAACTACTGAAAAAAAAACAAAAAAAAAACACACACACAGGCTGGGTGGAATGCTTAAACCAAAAAATTGAGATGAACAGGTCACCTCGCCAAAATAAATGATAATAGATGGACAAAAATAACTACTGAATGGAGTTCAAGAACAGGTACTCAAGGTCAGGAATGATATAAAACCAGATGGAGAGATGAAATTGTATGAATTGCAGGCATGTCGTGGATGAGAATTGCGCAGAACAGGAGTAGATGGTTTCAGACCGGGTAGGCCTACTGTACACCCTGCAGTGGACAACGGTTTAAATGATTATGATTAAAATGATATTTACCTAATAATAATAATAATGGCATCTTGTAATTTGTATTTGAATTAGTGCAAGATCTTAGAGGGTCATCCACCCATCGCCACTGTCGCGTTCCCTCTACCTAGGTGGTGCGAACAAAAGAACAGGAAAAACATTTGCCCTGCCACAGACAAATGGCTGCTCAGAGGTGGCAACTGGGATAGTACAGTAGCCCCCTAGAAATATCTCTTACTATTAAGTTAACTAAATTTATTTACTATGAAATACATCTTACGCCCTACCTGCAATAGTTTTCATCGACAAAACCATAGACATCAATTTCCTCACACATATCTATGGCAACAAGAAAGGTGTACCAACCAGTCGACAACCACGTATTTGTATTCTTTCTGGAAAATTAAAGGAACTATTAGAATACAGAAAAGTTTATAATTTTAAAAAAAATTCCACATTGAAACAGTATTTCAAACTAGTTTTGCTATACTATAACAATTTTTAAACAAATTCTTTTATTTCCTTTGTAATCTAACAATTTGATCATACAATTACAAAATGTTGAGTTTTTGAATTTTAATAAAATTTTAGTATAACTGTCATTCTACAAAGTAGTTGAAAACAGGTGGTACAGCAACCAGGCTGAAAACAAATACATTTTTACTACAGAAAATCGCCCAAAACAAAAGAGGCACTCTAGGTAATGGGGCTAGAAATCCAAGGACTATGAAAGAAGTCCTCAGATTAGTCACTTTCACTTATTCTCTGAAATGTTTAATTCAGTTTAACTTCACCTACTTGCTTTTGCCAGTTTCCAATTCAAATATAATATCTGCATTGAGTTCACCAAACTTGTCCAGACTATAGTAATCAACATCTGGAAATTGTTTCATAAGTTTATAGGCATTCATCTTAGCCCACCTATGATTGTTGGCGTTTAAGCCAAAAAACAGCACTTTCTCTGGAGCGCCATCTCCACTTAAAATACCTTCAGCATTCACCATTACATTCTCTGTTGACATGTGACATATTACCCGAATGGTAGTCCTAGAGCCAACATCCTCTTTGTAATGTTCTGTGGGGGCGTGGTTCATTCTGATGATACATGAAGCATTGTTGATCATGTGACCAGCTTTTGTGTTCAACATCTGACCAGAAGTTGAAACAATAGCACACGTTGAACACTTCTGTTTAAGTTCCTAAAAGATGATAAACAAAATTACGCTAAATTTCAAGTTGAAATGAAATTCTGAACAAGACAATCTTTTTTTTTTATCTATGAGCACCGTAACTTCTGAGATTCTTGTCATACACACATATACAGGCATATCTATCTATCTTGTGGTGAGTACAGACCTGCCTAATGTGAGGATCATGGTATTGTTAAACAACAAAAAAAACATATTCAAAAGACAACTTAGCTACTCTAGCTAGACCAGAGTGGCCTAGTACTCCTAGCTAAATTAAGCCAAAGTACTGTACCTATGACCTCATTTATATTGACTTGTGTTTTGTTTAATTACCACATACAGTACATCGTCAACATCTATCACAATCTACTACATGTTACATTTAAGGTTCTAATACCCCCTTCACACTGAACTAGTTCGCACTACGTTCTGGAGAACGGGGTGGAACGGCGACGAACGGGATTTGAACGGAATGGACATAGTAGAGACCGAAATACACTCTTAGTATGAACGGTATGAATGGGCAAGGATGGGAATAGTGGTCCAGAACGTCAGCCATGTTTAAAATTTGATCGTGTTCTACCCGTCCAAAAATAGGACTGAGTAAGTTCGTATTTCGAACGAGATTACTGTACTGAAAACGGAATTGCCATACTGCGAACATGGAATGAACAGGTTAAAAACGAGGTGAACGTTGTGCGAACGGGGGGCGGGGGGAATAGGAGTACGATCCAACGCAGATGCTGTTACGTTCCACCGCGTCCTGCCCGTTCTCAGACAGACCTAACTACATTCCATTACGTCTTCACTGCGTTCTTAAGCCGTGTTAACCAATTTATACGTTTGTGATACGTTGCTATTCAGTCCTAAACAGTTCTTGCTCAGTTTTTATACAGATCTACTCCTTTCTACTACATTGTCAGTACATTCAGTCTGTTTTTAGTCAGATCTACTCGTTTATATTACCTTGTCAGTACGTTCAATTCGTTTTTAGTCAGATCTACTACATTTTAAACTACGTCCACCCCGTTTGCAGTCGAATCAGCAAAGTTTTTGTTATAAATAGCGCAAATTAATGATGCTCTCCTCATTTGGAAATCAACTCTCTGACTGAATTGTTATATTATTTTACCATGGAGCAAATGCAATTGCTCTCAACACTAAATATGATGAATGTTGGTTTTCTGCAATTGATAGTAGAAGCAGGGCAACAATATGAAGAGATCAGAGAACATGAAGAAAAAGAAAAACAGAGGAGAACTAGGAGAATTAGAACATGTTGGGTGAGGGATCTTCTTTTCTTGCCCTGTTGAATCTGTGATTCTGCTTCATCATTTTCAGAATGAGGTGATGATGGTGCCTCACTCCCTAGAGCTTCCTCCTCTTTGTCTTTATCAGCAGCAGGAGTAGATGGGCAGCATCGTCATCAGCAGGAAAATCATCAATGTATTTCTTTGAGGTTCCTCTCCCTTGCCTCTTCTGTTACCTTGGCATGTGTACTATAGCAAGTACTGAATCGAAATGAGAACGGGCTAGATATGGGTCATATTACAGCAGATCGGACTGGAACATGACAGAGATCCCCGTTCTGACTTGGAGATAAGCTTGAGTTAAGCCCGGCTCAACGTTAAGCCCGGTTTAACTTTGCTGGGTGTTCAGACTAGCGGGTTTAGCCAGGTAAGAATTTGCATAATAATGAACCGTAACCAGGAAACTGTTTCAAAACATCGCTTGCGTAATGTACGCTCGCTCACAGCGTATGTAATTGAATGCTGATTGGTCATTTCATCACCCGAAGTCAATGCAAGACCCCCGCAACGATTAAAGCCCAACTTAGAAAAGTTAAACATGGTGGCGCGCCAGGCCTAGTTACTATAGGAATACAGCCCGGCTTGACATAAGCCAGCTAGTTCAGACTGGCTCAACTGACAGGGTTTATCCACCTAGCCTGAACTAGGCCAAAGACTGCCTGAGAACGCAGTGCAAATGGGCAAGACTGAGCATCAACTGGTTTGAACGGACACATCGTAGTGCGAACCGTGTAGAAACGTCCTACTGTAGAACAGGTTGAAACTTACTGTGAACAGGGTTAAACGGGTTGAGGATGGATTGGAACTTGTTAAGAACAGAATGGGCAGGAACCTCTTCCCGTTTTAAAAGTTGTGTGAACGTTGTACAAACCGTCTGCAATCGTAATGAACTTATTTCAAACTGTGTTGTGTCGCAGTAAAAGCCAAAATTGCACGTTTGAACCCATCCTCATCCCGCTTCATGAAATTTTCAGAATGGGCAGAAACGTTTTTCGAACTAGTTCAGGGTGAAGGGGGTATAAGAAAGCATATGTATTCACAAACCAGAGTGCAATACTACATTAAACAGACACATAATTATGCTGTAAGTTTTCATAGGAACCTATAAGAAGTAAATCACTATTTTTACTGTTGGAAGTGAATTTAAATGGAAGTGTTGAAAATGATTTTGTCTAAGTGTCCTTGGTAGAACAAGGATTAGACATAAAATATAATATAGGCTAATATATCTCTCTAATACATTCAATGGCACACAGTTAAAAACAGTGCTAAAAAAAACATCTATTTGAGAGAGCCTTTAATTTATCATTTATAAAAAATAAATATATTTAATAAATAACATTTTCTCGCACCTCATTTGTTGTCATAGACTTGTACCTTTTGACAACTGTAGGTTTGTGACCATGTGTAGGAAGCTGGAATTTGTTGAGAATCTCAGCCTGCAGTGGTGATATGCTTTGTAGGTTACGCCGAAGACCATTAGATTTGTCAGTGAACGGTTTAATAGGTAGGTGTTGACTCCATGAATTGCTTTTCCATAATCCAAATATGCCAAACATCATGGTGTGGAATGATATAAACACCACAAATGCTATCTGGGAATGTATAATATATATTATATTATTGCTTTAGTAAAGCCACAGCCCACAGCAGCTTTTTGCTGATGGAGCATTTTGAGGAAATTCGAAATCTGCCCCTAATGTATTCCCGCCAATTTATTAGACACACAGTTTTGATGATATGTGACTTGATTACAAGAAAGTATATTTGTACATGTATACCTGTTTATTGAAAGCAGTCGTTTATTTGAATAAATATGGTAATTGAGATAAAATTAATTAACTACAGTATAGTGACTGGATGTCCATATTAACATCAAGTTTTAAATTGGTCTGATCCATAATGTTTGGAGCAACATTACCTATTTATTTTGATGGTTTCTTAAAGAACAGATGTAATATTTTATTAAGTGACATAGAATTCAATTTATTATTTGGAAATTTACTTTTTCACTACCATGTCATGCAATTTTTTAATTTAAGTTATACAACTAATAATTAGACAGACAAGAATACATCACTTACAAAGCACCTTGGATTTGCATATTTTCTTTTTCCATTTCTGCAGCATTCAAAGTCATGCATAGAATGTTCTGGTTGTGATACCATGACAGTTATGTAGCAGACTCTGAAAAACAACATCAATACATTACAAACTAGAGCACACTCCGAGAGCGTATACCTCCACCCACATCATACTTCTCCCCTGTATAAAATTCCCGCTCATCTTTTCCTTCTAAAAAAAAAATAATGAAAACAGATTCTCAACCTCCACCGGCATTCAAACCGGACCAGTCTGTTACCAAGCGGCATCATCAACTAGACCACAAATGCGTTTTTAGTTAGGCCTATGTGAAATCCGGTAGCATTGAAAGCATTCAATCATTGTTCCTTGGACCATGAAAAACCATTCTATAAAGTTTAATTCACATGCATTGATGAGTTTTTGACATATTTAGGTCTGTGACATTTTTGTAGGTTTCCACACGCACACCTGTACACAACCTAACCAGGAACGATCACCAAAATGGCATTCTTTTTTCCTTGGCCACGACAAACCATTCCAGAAAGGTTTTCAGATGCATCATTTTTTGAAAAAAATAGGTCTGGAAAATTTCCTTTAAAAAGTCCTAATATCCACACCCTGCTCTGGATCATAATAACAATTTAATTATTTCTTCCTTGGACAATGACAAACAATTCTACAAAGTTTCTTTCAAATCCATTAATGAATTTTCGAGATATTTCAGTCTTGGACTTTAGCACTTTCAATGAGTCCAAAAGTTCTCGACATTTAGAGGTGTCTTTGACTCTTATATTCAAATTTTACACCAGCCTCAACATGGTAAATGTGAAACCATTTGCTGATCTTGGCTTGTCATCCCAAAATTGCTGGCACTAGCATTAATGATTTTTTTTTAACTACTTGAGTCAATTTGTATTGTTCTGGAAATTTCCTATAGCAGGGTAGAAACAGCTGGTGTGTAGGTTTCTTAGAGTTCATCCCTTCCCCTCATTTTTACAAAACAATCTATCTATAGATATCACAGTGGATGTTGAAAATGTCGTGCCATGCCAAGGCTACATGCAATAGGAACAAGTAGAATTGTATAGCTAATGTAATGGGTGGGCTGTCATTGAAAAAATAAATGGAAGTTCACAATAACTATGTAGGCCGTATATTATTTAGTAATCTTGGTGGTTATGTGTGTAATTATATGTGTGATTTCAGTGTTATATTTCAGTTATTACATTGATGATTATGTCTGTATGTAATTATGTTTCTGTGTAGGTCTACTTTAGTGTATCTAAAATGAATTAAACAAATAGTATCTTATTGTTGCATTAACAGTATCATTTCATTTTTAATTATTGATAGGCTTAATATGTGTGTAAATAAATACACATTAAACCGATAAACAATAATTAAATAATCTTAGATTTAGACACAAAACAGACACATTCAGATTCAGATATATTTTGTCCTCCTGGCAACAATCGCATACAATAACATACAAAAGAACAGTAATAACAGAAAGGGAGCAAAAAACAATAAACACTATTTGTTAAAACAAATGCAAAGATAAGACATGGATTATGAGTGTGCAGAAATTTTCAGGGGAGGGGCGTATTTATTTTTTTTGCTGGCGTACTGTAGGCCTAGCCTAGGCCCTACTGATAGGCTTCTTACAGTAGGCCTAGAGATTTCAAAAACTGCATTGGAGCCAAGCCAAATCTTTAAAAAAGGCCATCGCCATAAAAGATAATTTTACATAAAATATTTGTTTGTACAATATTTATTTTAATAGGCATTGTGGTTCCGTAGGCTAACTGCTGCAGTGCTAGGCTAGGCCTAGGCCAGGTAGGCCTAGCCTAGCCATAGGTCTAGGACTAGTTAGTAAGTAGTAGTACTTAGGCTAGGCCTAGGCCTAAAACAACCGCCAATTGAAGCGTAGGTCGTAACCTATTATTTGTCTTCATAGTACTTTATTATTATCATATTTAAAACATGGTTTATTATCTAAAAGAAACCAAATAAAAACATGTGTACGCCTACTATACTACCGATCAAATCGTTCACGATTTCTGTCAACAAGCACATGTGACTATGAGGGAATCTATTTTTTTTTTTCCTGCAGAAAAAACACACTTTTAATGATGGTGGTGCACTTCACATCTTGTTCCCTGTGCTGAAGATGAAAAAGAAAGATGATTTTTCCTCTATTATCGACATTTTTTTGTTGATTTTCATCACTTTCTTCACCAAAAAAAAAAAAAATGAGAGGCGGCGAGAAAATCAGGGTCGGGCGGTGACGCTAAACAAGTATATATTTTTTTTGGCCTTACTGTAGTTCTGCATTGAGTGCTGCCTAGATGCATGCCAGATTTTAACTAATTCTACTCTACTGTAGGTATAAAATGGATGATTGCTACATAATGTTCTTAGTCTTATCTGTGATTATTGTAGCAAGGCCCTTATCAATCAAAATACTTTCTTTAATTATACAAGCCTTATTAATTAAAAGCTTGAAGTTTGCATAAACCAAACGAAAACCAAAACCAAAACCAAATAACGGAACAGAAAAAAATTGCACTTTGAACAACTGACAAATACAAAAGCTTCACAATCATCGAAAATAATTAAGTTGTCTTATGAAATACTGTACAGTATAGTTGTGTGAGACGTTTAGAAACCAGACCTTTACCATGCTCACCCCAGTTTTAAGCTTATCATCAATCGTCATGCCAAGATAACTAATTACAATTTCAATTACATCATCATCAATTTTGATTGGAATGGGTAACCTGTTTACTGATTCCCTTTAGTTTTCTTGCCATTTACAATTAATTGATTGGTGTCACACCATCTAACAAAATCCTCAATGGTTTCCCGATAGGCATTCTCATTACCACCATGTACTACACCTACAATTACGGTATCATCAGCGTATTTAAACAGATACATGTTTGGGCTACGAGATCATTAGTATATACACATATGATAATGGTGATAAGTTTAGAAAGACAGTTACTGTAGCCACCTTAACACGTTCTCACAATAAAAAAGTTATTAATTCAAGAAATTTAATATGGGTTAACCTCAAGATTGCACACACGCCGTGTGTGTTTTGTACATGAAATAGGAACTTTATTTATGACAATGACTTGATTTTACGTTTGTAAAATCAGGAATTCGTAAATGAGGGGTTCTACTGTAATTGTTTATTGGATGAACAATAGGTGACTCATTAGGAGGTTCATTAACAATTGCGTCCTCAATCCGTGCATAAAATTTGTTTAAATTATTCGCTGTGGCTAGAGATATGGTACCGTATCTTAACTTCACCAGCGTGAAAACATTGTTCAGAAATTGCTCGCTGTGAGCCTGCTTTCCTGCCGAGTTGTTATACAAAGTAAGACATCAAAACTCAAGGAGTACAAAACATGTCCATAATTGAACAACTCACCAAAAATACATACAGTAAATAAAATTTTAAATGTCATGACAACAGAACAATTAATGGCAATCTTCTATCACAATCAATAAAGTAAACAAACCAATGGAGTTTTTAACTTACTCACTCAAAGATACATTATAATATATAACACCTGGCTATAATGTATATCCAAGACTGTATACAATAACGATGTGTTAGCGTTTGTACGACAAAGGATAGTAGGCCTTTAATCACAGAGCCTACAGTAGGGTCTAAGTATGTAGTGTAACTTTTGACCTGATCAGCGACATAATGTGAAAGCACACTACTTTTGAGTTTTTGAGAGTTTTTTATTAGATAATAGAGAAAATAGTTCTATTTTCCCTATGATTAGAATTATTTTTTTTAAATAATTATCTCATCATTAAAAATAGTTGCATGTTAAAAGCTCTGCTTCCAATGTAATCCCTTGCATCTCATTTTCATATACTGTAGGACTTCTATAGGCATTATTTTTTTTCAATTGTAATCATATGTTTGTTGAATATTTTTTTTAATGTATTTTTGTAAGACTGCGACACAGGATACAATATGTTAGTGCAATAATAAACTTTAATAAGCCATATTCAAGACAAAGTACTTAATGTTACGATCACCAACTGCCTCTGCATCAGCGAGTGATTTCGCAATTCTTCATGAACAATGACGTCACATCGGTGGTGGCACTTTATTGGATAATGCAATCTACCGTACCTTTAGCAAACAGAAGATTTACAACTTTTTAAACAGGTTTCACTTTTTTTCGCATGCTGGACATATTTCGGTAGAAGTTAAATCACGTTGTGGTCTGAATTTCCGATGCTACAGTAGAGCTAACTAGACATTATAAGATTCCGGACGCGAACAGTAGTAAATTAAGATTTTGATTAGTAAGCTTCCAGATGTATATAGGCCTATTCTAAATTGTAGTAAAGATTTCAGAATGTATTTATTTGAGTTCTGATTGTTTTAATAACAAAAAATGTTTTCATTCAATTGATTTGTATTGTTGGAGCATACTGTACTACTTACAGGAACAACAAATCGAGCATAATAGAAAACATAATACGAAAAAAATTCACTAACAATAATCTAAGATAGTCCTAGGCCCTATCCGTCCTACAGTAGCTACTGAAATGATATCTATTTCGGCCGCGATGAGGGCTAGGCCTAGACTAGAGAGAGGCCTGGACCTATCTAACATCCAGAAAATTAATTCGGTTTTGTTGTCTTATTAAAATATACACCAATATCTATCTATGGTAAAATATATTGTGTCAATGATCTGACTAACCTTAGAAAGAAGGCAGTTGTAGTTTGTGAACACCTACGCCCTATGTGAGCAATTCAGCCCCAGTATTAAGCAGGCTACCTTCCCATTTTAATCTTTCGCACGAGGGAGGCGTTGATCCGAATAGCAGTTCAGGGTTGCCTGCCAGCAGCTGCCAGCCAGATAGTCGACTTCACGGCCAAACACACGCCATCTCACGGCAAAATTCGGCCAAACTTTTTTTTCTTTTTTCGATATCGGCCAAAATTCGGCCATATTTTAATCCGATTAGAAAACAATAGTGGGTAATGTTCATTTAAAATACAAAAATTACACGAATATCAACTGTAATTTGTTTGAAATTGATATAGGCCTACACAGAACAATGTTAATATTTCACTGTTTTTGTTTTTATAATTAAATGCCCAGCTAACATCAAAATATTAAATATTAAGATCGACCTAAATTTGACTTAAATGTCGATCTATAGCAATTAGGCCTATTTAAGGGCCTGTTATTGAATCTTTAGTGACAAATCAGTTGCTCTCTTTAATTAGAATGAAAGTTACATTAGTAAGGTAACACAAACCGGTGTTTAAACAAACCTATGAAAACTTTAATAAATACTTTTTATCTAAAACTTTCTAAGCTCGCTTCTGAATGTTATTATTGCAGAATTTAAAACAATAAATCAATGTCGCTATCAGAACTATATTCTTCATGATTCTCATATACAACCTAACTTAAACTAATTAAAGAATGAAATGTTAATAAATTCAAGCTTTTTGCGCTCTCATAATACTGTATTCAATTCTATATAAACCCTGGTCTACACTTATAATTGCATAAAATGTGACTCTTGTAGGCTTATATTCGTGCTGCAATGTTATTCGAAACATTGCTTATTTCGAACATTGTAACCAATGCTTATTTTCAATCAATCTATTGAAATAATAAAATAAACGAAACAAATAATAATTAAAATATATATAATATATTGTTTTAATTATTTACAAGCTAATAAAATTTTTCATTAGGCCTATATTATCTAGAATGCAGATATAAATACAATCGCATTGGCTGTGGTTATGATTGATTATCCTTTTCATAAGATATATACACAGGTCTATCATACTCAAAAAATAGTCCTAGCTAGTAGTATGGAATAATATTGTGAAAGTGAGAGCAAATATTATAGACCTACTTGTTACAAGAAAGTTACCATGTTTCATAAAGAAAATAATGACAGTTGATAGAAGGAATGCTGAATATGTTTGAAGTGACTAACACTAATACATATTAAGGTTTAATTTTTCTTCCCCTTACAAAAAAGTAAGTGGTAAGAGTAAGAGGAGTTTGCAGGCGTACCGTACTGTGATAGGTCACTTGTACAGGTTTATGGAATATAACCAACAATAAACTGTAAAGATAAAATAAATCAATATATAAATAACACATTGATATCGAATTGCCGGAGTCTTTGGGCTCATCATTTAATATAGCATCTATGGTTCCACAGAAAAAAAGAAATATATA